CCTTGGTGAGCCAGGGAGGCTTTTGGGCACTCTTGCCCCCTTTCCTTCTTGTTGGGATTTTCACCCCTTGGGCCCTGAGTATCGTCTCCTTAAGGAATGACCACTCATCTTGGGCACCGAGTTCCCCTGCCCTCTAGAACCCCAGCACCTCTCCCACCAATCTCCTCAACTCGTTGAATTTGGCACTCTTGAAGTCTAGGGCTACCACCTTGCTGCAGGCCCTTGTCACCCTGCGCTGGATGATGACTTCCAGCAAGCAATGATCGCTATCACCTAGGTGGTCCAGAACGTGGAGCCCCCTTACCAGATCATTGCCTGTGGCCAGGACCAAGTCCAAAAGGGCATTTCCTCTGGTGGGACTGTGCACCTCCTGGGTTAAGTGGAGGTCCTGTATCTCAGCCAGGAACCTCCTGGAACGGTCTGACCTGGCTGACTGCTCCTCCCAGCAGATGTCTGGGTAATTTAGATCACCCATGACAACTACATTCCTTGCCCTAAGTGCCTGTGCAAGCTGGCCTGAAAATTCCCGGTCCAGCTCCTCCCCTTGGTTGGGGGATCTGTAGGAGAGCCCCACCATTACATCCCTCTCCCCATGACCCCCTTGTATCTTGACCCAAAGCATTTCAGCTTGCCCCTCCTCTGACCCCATTTTGCTGGCAGAGGATGTGTATTGCTCTTTGACATAGAGCACCATACCCCCTCCCTTCCTCCCTTCTCTATCCCATCTGTAGAGCCCATAGCCCCTAATGCTCACTGCCTAGTCGTGGGATGAATCCCACCATGTTTCTGTAATCCCTACTATGTCTGGGTTTGAACTGGCTATTCTGAGGGCGAATTCCTCCTGTTTGTTCCCCATACTCTGCGCATTGGTATACAGGCATTTAAGGCCTTGCATAGCTGCATGTTCCAGCCCCCGATTAGGAAGACTATCCGGACCCCTGTGTCTTACCTGGGCACTCCTTGCATGTGTCACCTGTCTTGCTCAGGTGGTGTCTCCACGTCTTCGTGCGGACCCTTCCACATTGGGAAGACAAACCCAATTTTTCTTGAAGGTTGCAAGGAGGGCTATTGGGATATCTGTATAACGCTATGTAATGGACACATCAATATAATAGAGCAGGGGATCACCAACTTTTTCCATTTTTAGGCGAGATTGACCCAGCTCACAGGAAAACTAGGGTGATACCAAAACCAGGTGACTACTACCACTTTTTGTCAGTGCTGCTTCTTTTTGCTGCCCAGCTGCAGTACAGCACAGCACAGAGTAAGAGAAGGCCCCTGTTAGCAAAAGACCTTCCTCCACAGGGTGGATACAAAGGCATCATGGGCTCTAGATTGTCAACTGCTGTGACAAAGTCCAGACAAAACTGATAAGGTCAAAATGAAATACTTTGGGACTGTTTGGTTCATGAAAAAATAAAATAAATCCCAAACTAGGGATTGAGAAAGGTTGATATTTTAAAATTTCTCCCATGAAGGGACCATTGTTTCTGGCCATGGGAACATCCATGAAGAGAGCCAGTTGCAAACAGCATAAATCTAGCTGCTGGACTCCAACAAACCTCTGTCCCAAGTGGGAGCTGCCAGTACAGTAAGTTAGCATGGAGACTGAAGGGCAAAGATGCATATTGTCAGATCAGGCTCTGGCATCTGTCAGGTTTGGATCAAGATAAATCAGGTCCATGAATGAGTCTCTGATCCCTTGATGTTACCTCTGGAGCCTGCTTGGCATGGGCTGTACATGGCATGAGGCTGCACAGGGATGTATGCTTCATGTGGCACCTGTGCCAGGCGAGCCCTGTGTACTAGGCTGGGGGGTTGTCTGGATTGGGCCCATTGACCCACCCTACACACAGGATCCAGTGTGCACAGTCATCTACACGTCCACCTCACTGGGCAGTTTTTACTGTGCAGTCATGTAGTACTGGCTTTAATGAGAACTAAATGAACATGCAGTACCCGCCATGGCTGCTCAGTCCCAAAGGCGCATGGGGAATTTCAAACCCTACTGTGCAGTAGCAATGAGGCAATGCTCAGGAGCTCATTGCTAGTGCACCATAGCGGTGGCATCATGGTTGATGCCTGCCAACACTATGTTGCCACAGGGATGAACGACATCAACCAGTGACCTGCTGTGGGCACCACATGCTGCAGGCTGGCCCCTCACATCTTATGCTGTGCACGGTGCAGGGACCGGTTTGTGTTGCGTGTGCTCTGCAGGGCTAGAGCTGCAAGCACCAGATGTAGTCAGTCCATAATGCACCTTGCATGCAGTGCCTCCACTAGACCACCCCTGTCGGCTTGATCTGGCAGATGGGGTCCATCTGTGTTTGATACCGCTGCGTTCAAGGGAAGCTGATGGTGGAAGAAATGAGGGGGAGCTGGGACCTTGGATGTATACGAGTCAGGGGAAAGTGGTCTGAGGGGCTGTCATATTCATGACAGTAGATTCAGAACCAGGACCCTACTAATGATTGCTGAGCTAATATTTTGTCAATGTGATGCCTTGCAATGGAGCTTGTTTGTCTTCACTATGGAATACATTAATTATACTTAAAGTTATTTATTTTGCACCTTACAACCTGACTTTTATTCTCATGTTTTATCTCATGCAAAACTACATAGGAACTA